TAAAATTAAATATCTCTACAACAAAGATCGATAGAATTGTGCGGTAAACTGTATATTAGCAAAACTGTAAAAACGGTTTACAAAAGTTTATAAAATTTAGTTATGAAAATCGTTAACAGATGGAGCTCTAATCGCAATGACCTCTCAATAGCCTTTAAAATGTGCTTCGAAGTCGAAAGTGATCAGTACAACTATTGGCTAGTGAAAAGAGGCTAGCGTAGAAAGTGAAACAATGTATTCCATTGAACAACGTGTAGTTTGGTTCTGGAATTTCACCGATTAGAACATGGCAACACGTCGCAGTTTTTAAAACCGATTCAATGTTCCAGTTGGACCCAATGCGAAAACCATTCGCATGCTCTTCGCGAAATTCGAATGAACTGGCAGCGTGGCTGATGATCGAAAGGGAGATGTTGGGCCTAAGCAAACTATAGTCACTCCTAATGCAGCCAAAGTTTCTGGATTTGTTGAGCAAAATCCTAGGAAAAGCATCCGGCGGATTGCATCAGAGACAGGTTTAAAGTAAATGAGCACACAAAAAATATTTCAAAATAGCCTACGGTTTTTTCCATACAAAATCCAAAGTCATCGGGTCATACCCATGAAAGCTGTGCAACAAAGGGTTGACTTTGCGAATCAGATTCTAACAATGGATCGACAACGACAGATTTGATGTGAAGCTGCATCTGGTTCACAATTTGAATGGCACATTTTTATTTTGAATGGAATCGTTAATAAAAAAAAAAAATCTGGAGATTTTGGGGCTACCGAAAAGTTCCTCATTTGTGTGAAGAAAAAGCCCACGTTTAGGCGAGGCTTTTTCTAAAGTCGTCTTGGCGAGACAATTCGTCTAAAGTTACTGCATGGGCTGCGGTATGCGCCAGAGGCATTATCGGACCCTTTTTCGTACGAGAAACGATAACTACTGAACGTTACATTACAATTTTGGAACAATTTGTCAGCACTCAACTAGCGTTGGAGGATTGACCAGGTATTGACTGGTTCCTGCAAGATGGGGCTCGACCACATCGAACAAGTAAGGTTTTTCACTTTCTTCATGAATACTTTGGGAATAGAATAATTGCGTTAGATTATCCTCAATTTACTGACACAGGAATAGCTTGGCCTCCATATTCCCCTGATCTGAGTCCTTGTGACTTCTTTCTGTGGGGCATATTGAAAGACGCTGTCTATCGAAACAATCCGGCTACTCTAGATGAGCTTGATTGGTGTTGCATGTGATTTTATTTCCGTGGAGACATTGCAAGACGCGATGTCAAATTTCATTGTTCGTTTACGCCACCTCATTGTTTCAAACGGTGAACATTTCGAAAAAATTGTATTTTGATTGAAAAGGCTGCTTCACTTTATTTTTTTAATTAATTTTTTGACTCCTTTCAGAGAAAGAGTTTTCAGCGCAGAGCGCCATCTGTTAACGATTTTCGTAACTAAATTTTCTAAACTTTTGTACACCATTTTTACAGTTTTGCTAATAAATGTACAGTTTCATAATTCTATCGATTTTTGTTGTAGAGATATTTAATTTTGAAATCAGGGCTTATTCGCTGATCACCCTGTAAAAATTCTCAAAGGTATGTTTAAACAAAGTTCATAAGGGATTTATCATAAATTAAAATATCAATACATACATATAGATTGCAGATGACGGGATGCAGAAATGCATAATAAGCATATAAAGTATGGTTCTCATCATTAATTGTATTTACAAATTTACAAAACTATGCTTACCGAAATCATGCGTAGGCACAGATAAGTGGTTTAAATCAACATTCATATAATTTTATATCTCTGCGGATTCTTTAATAAAATGCTGAAATTTTATGTATGACCTTATTAGTGTATGGACCACATTTTGCTAATTAAGAATTTTTCTGTACATGGACCGTATAAAAATGTAAGTTTTGTATTTGTTTACTACCTTGAATATTTTAATATTGATTTCTTGATTTCATAAAATTCTATACCTTTTTTTAATGTAACTATATAAATTATATTTTATGTCTATGATCATATTTAAGTAATAAAAGCCAAGGACAATGTTTTTGAGAGGCTCTCTTTCTCTCTCTCGGCATATATATATATATATACTTCAGGCGCGGCCGATTTGAACCCAAAAGGTAGATGCAGAACTACATGTTACTAGCAGTTCTTTCTTATATACAAAATTTTATCGTTCTGAGGCTATTCGTTTATGATTTGTGAGAGATACATACATACGTACGTACAGACGTCACGAAAAATTTTCTTCTATATCCATTTTAAATCCATTCTGTAATCCGTTTTGAGAAAAAGAGTCCTTTTTTCTGTCTTTACGTACAGCTGTCACGCCCAAACATCGTTAACTTGCATTTGATATCTGTTAAAATGGATATTTTCTTTGAAATATGATACCCGAAATTTTTTATGATTACAACAGTTCCTTTAGTTCGTACAAGAAAACCCAAATTAATTTCGGAAGAAGGGAGTTCTATTTCGGATTGCCCATAAAGTCGATACTGCTTTATTCAATATCTACGCTAATCTAAGTTTCTTTTTTTTTGACAAAATTTAAATATAGTGGAGTATCAGAAGTCTCCATATGCATGATCGTCTTCGAGGCGTGCGGTTCTTGGCAGCTAATTACAGTTTAGGAAAAGACACGTTTTCATTAGATGGAGAAAATCGATTTTATTTACGTTTTAAAAGAGAAATAAAGTATTTGTACGGTTCGTTGTTCATTTGCTCTGAATTAATACCTGAGTTGGAAGCTCTAGATTGCAGCTGAGCATACGATATTTTAATCGGAAGCTTCAGATTAAATGTTCTTTGCTTGCTTCATTAATAAAAGATTTTTCAAATGTTACACTTTTCATTTTACATACATTACATGTGAATGAAATGTATTCCTTGCCATAGATATTATAATTATTTGATGATAATATGTACTTCTTAATGATATTTTGTAAGTCTTCTTAAAATTTATAATGTTACAATAATCAACAATTTAAATTTCTAAAACCATATATTACACATATCTCTACTGTAGAAGATTTCTCGAATCTTCCTACTTGAAAATAATTGTGCATCAAAAAGGAAACAGGTAAAAGTCTGTGTTCCCAGGTGTATAATCCTGGCATTATATCCGTATGTTTTTTTTACTTAAAACGGATTTTTCTACTGTATTTTTAGAGTACGATAGAATTCTGGTGTTGACGGAAGTAGTCTGTGTGTTCCTGTTGCTATTAACATTAAATTCTACTAAACGTAAATCAGTTATTATGTTTTGCAATTATTTTTCTAAAGATTATAAATTATTATTAATTAAATGTACTGCTAGAAATCCAGAATGCAACATGAAGAAGGAAGGACAAGAGACATTAAAGCCGAATTTATTTCAGAGATCAGTGTCAGTGTTACTTGATTTGAAATACAGCCTCCTTTGAGGTCAGGAACACGAAAAAATCAGTAATGAATGTTGCCTACATATTTCTCAGCAACCACTGCTACACGCCGAGGCGTTGAGTGAAAGAAGCTCTGCATGTTTTGTTGGGGAAGAGCAACCCAAGCTGCCTCCAGGTGTAGCCAAGTTGATTTGGTGCACCTGCAGGTGTGGCATGCAGTTCTCTAATCATTGACCAGACATGCTCGATGGACGATACAGGAACAGAAGGGATTGGTCAGGGTAACAGAGCAATACGGTCGGTTAAGAACAAAGCTTGAACATTGCGTGCAATGTGTGACCATGCATCGTCCTGTTAAAATGTAGTAATGAAGGTAAGCGTTAAGGTAAAGAACGAGAACAGGCTGAAAAACCTCAGAGATGAAGCATCGGCTGGTAAATGTACGTGCGTACCGGGGGAGAGCCGGAAGTGGAATCCAATAGCAACCCACACCATAATATCTAGTGCAGACCAGTATTACAATGCATAACACAACAACCGAGCAGTCTATCCACGGTGTCTCTAAACTATAATCCGACCATCCTGGTACTGCATGCAGAAGCGTAATTCGTTCATAAACACAATGTCAAGCCATTTGAATGTGCATCTTCGCGTTCATTGCAAACACAAAAGCCTGTGGTTTAAAGGTAAGCGAAACAACAGACATCTAGTGCGCTGCAGTCCCCTACTATGATGTGCTCGTGCGTTGAAATGGTAATCATTTGTATATTCTATTGCGGTATACACATGATTGCAAGTTTCATCTTGTTTGGATGTTTCCTTCATGATGTTGCCTTTGAAATGGCCAGCAGTTTAATTTCATGCGCACAGTTCAGACATTGTACTGTAGACGTAAATGTAGAACTCTTGCTTTCACCAATTGTTGGTTTTCCAAACCCCTTTCCCGTTGTGATATGGTTTCAGATTTAGCAGTGCGCTCTATCAGGGCCATGCGCACAATTCAACGATGTGACGAGGCAGTTACGATTGCTGTTGTCCGTTAGTCGTTCTCTCGTGCATCCTCCAATTCCAAATTCGCATGACTGTTTTTTGGCTACGTCTGACACGATGGATCGATTTCCCGAAAGGATAATGTGTGTGTGGGCAACAATTCTGCCTCGATTGAACTCAGAAACGTGCTCGAAAGATGCTCGGGTTTTTTACGAGGAAAACTGTAGCTGTACAAGCAAAAAATTTCACGAGAGAGCAATACACCTTATTCAAAACGATAAACTTTCTCACCTCAATATATGAATTGTAAAGAGCGCTGAAATGGTAATCATTTGTATATTCCATTGCGGTATACACATGATTGCAAGTTCCATCTTGTTTGGATGCTTCCTTCATGATGTTGCCTTTGAGATGTAATATTTTCTAATGCTATACTGAAACCGAAATATGTTTTTTTAAATTGAATTGTTATTAACACGGAGAACTTCATTAGCATTACAGCGTTAGTACCTGAAATTTATTTCATTATTTTATGAATGCACTGGTATATTTTGTAACGAAAGAAGCTATAAATATCAGAGATAACGAATTTTATTTTTCACCTTCAAGGTAAATCGACAGGTCTTGTAACTACCACAAGAGTAACTCATGCTACTCCTGCTGCAATATACGGCCACTCAGCCAGTCGCTATTGGGAGAACGATGCGAAAATGGCGGATGCCGATCTCACGCAGTGCAAAGATATCGCTAGACAGTTAGTGGAAGATGATCCTGGCCGAAATATTAATGTAAGTAAAGTAAAATATTTAGCTATCATGTACTTAAAATTGTTATTTCGGATGTTGACATCATGTATAAAGTGCAAGTACTATACGTATAATAATGTAATATATAATAATGTTATAGTGTAATGATAAAACATAACCTATAATTACAATACTTAATAATCGAATATTATAGTATAATATATCCAAGTATACACACATAATATATTTCCAGTATATGTAATCTTATATTTATGTGATCAGGATTATCATTAAAGGTAACTGTAACATTTCCGTTAACATCTAAAGACCTCCATATTAGGATTTTTTAATTCATTAAAGACTAATGTGAAGCTAATGCAGTTTTGATTGCAAACCACAGCAGTAAAATGAATATTAAGACAAAACAATTATCTTTTTGAATCCCCATTAGGGATAAAAGTTTATGCTTTTATTCTATACGCCCTGAAATCTATGAAGCATTACATTTTTCGCTCTTTCACTTTTTGTGTCTTCTTTGGAGTAGACGTTTCATTTTCCATAGGAACCTTTCCTTTGGTTTTCAAACTCAGTTAACTGTTGTTGAAAAAAAATCTAGTTTGGTCCTGTTGCGTGATTTTGCAGGTTATTTTGTCAGCATAAATCATTTCTAGCTTAAAATTTAAAATTAAATGTTGGCGACTCCTTTTCTGACTTTACGTATTTGTGCGATTATTAATAATTACGGTTTCATTACGACAATGAAAAGTTTCAAACACTGAGAAAATGTATTGTATTGTTGCACTCTACGGGTTCTTGGATTTGGAGTGAGTGATGACATCACTTGATTAAGAATCAAAACACAATTTATCAGCCAGTATTACTCAGGACAGTTTGGAAAGAAACGTTTACAGTCGTCGAAAAACTACGACAAACACGCTGAAACAATCAGCAACACAGCCTTCAGGCTGTAACGGTAAAGACTTATCCAGCACGGGAGAAACTATTACGACCGCGAATTCTACCACAAACTTATTTTATTCGAAAAATTAATAATATGAAAATAAAAAAATTGAAAAATTGAATACTGTTTCCCTTAAAAAAAAACTGACCAGTTTCACGCTTAGCCGACATCCTAAGACTTAATTAAATCACAGCAAAACACTAAATACAACTCCCGACTCGGTCAATCGCTCTCGGAACTCAACTCACTTAAGATACTCTTCACGATAAAGTCAAGATATGACCTGCCTTTGAGAACATTCTGGGGCAAACCGGTAAGAATTTGTTCTAGAACATTCTCTCTCCGTTTATGGCATATCGCCAATTTTGTCGCCAAACGTTGCCAAATGGGCAATTTTGCGCCAAATCTGCAATCTAAGCTATTTTACCTCACCTGGTCATTTCGTAACAGTATATAATAAATTTAGAGACTACTGTAATATCCTTAAAACACGGTGGACAATTTTGAAACAGATTATATAAATCTTATCAATAGGCAAGATTAAGTAATCTTCACATCAGAAAACTAATAATAAAAAAATTAATAATATTAAAATAAAAAAAAATTGAATATTGTTTCCTTTAAAAAAAACCTGACCTGTTTCACGCTTAGCCGACATCCTAAGACTATAACATGGCCTAATGCCGGTGTGACACCAAAGGAATTTTTTAAATAGCTTAAAATTTGTAATACATTTGCATAAATACAATCAAATGTGGTTGCCAAAGCATTACCAGTCGAATTTGCCGGTTTGCTTCAAATTTTGAATTTTAAGATAGAATATCTGCGTAAAGTAACATTACGAAGAACTTTTACATGAGATATGCTTGTATGTGGATTCTGTTTCTCCAATGACTTTACAGAAAAAACTTTCTTTCAACACTGAGACCTTAAAGTATATTTGAAGAGTTTTGAATTTATTTACTTTAATTTATTTGGGTACGTGAACAGCTGTGGAATATATCTTTACTACTGTAATCGGTTTGAAGAGTTTTGAATTTATTTACTTTAATTTATTTGGGTACGTAAACAGCTGTGGAATATATCTTTACTACTGTAATCGGTTTGAAGAGTTTTGAATTTATTTACTTTAATTTATTTGTGTACGTGAACAGTTGTAGAATATATCTTTACTATTATAATCGGTATTCACGTTAACGATCCTCTTAGTTAGTATGGTAATATTGCAGTCCTTTCGATGAATAAAATTCAATAGTTTTATGAACACTTTTATATTGCATTTTGCAAATATGGCGGATAAAAATAACTCTGTAGCTTTGAATAAACATCGCTTTGGAGTTTTCAAAAAGTCCCCAAGCAATTAAAATATGCCTTTACTATGAAAGCATTTATGTAAATGTGTGGAATTAATTTGAAGAGTTAATCTTTTTTTTTCGATCGAACGCTGTATTAAAAATAATTCAGACTTCTTTGATAAGAAATTACCTTTTTATAATTTACTTTTGCACTAACTAGATAACAAATGATATTTTGATGGTTTTTCAGCTTCATTTTTCACCATTAAATATACCATAGCTATTAGGAAAAGACTTTTGGTTTCTTATTTGTTTAAAGAAAAGTATTTAACTACAGACTGGTTATTTAAATGGTTAAAAAAACAAAGACCGTTGGAAAATAGTTTTGAATATTTAAGAACAGTAAAGACTGAATCTTTAATGGTTCCGTCTGAATACGTCGGTGACAAAGTGAGCTAGAAGTATTAAAACCACGCAGTAGAATTATAAGCTGAAAATTCAGAATTTGAGTTAAATAACCTTGAAGCTTAAAATATTACATTATTTCATAGAACCTGTTTCATCTAATATAAATTCTCTGCAATTAACTTCTGTGGCAAGTACAAAAACATATGACTGATACATTGGTACATATTATAAATACGGTTAGAGTATTAGCATTTTATTTAAGGGCGTATTAAACAAGTAAATGTTCAAATAATTGAGTATTACAATCCTTTCTTTTCTTCACAAAGATCTCGCTTTTGATTGTATGGTCTAAGCGTTTTAAAGGGAAATCAAAATGTAAGTGGGTAATGTCAAATCTGCTCTTTCGAAATGCTTCTACGTGTTTTTAGATTTTCGAAGATAAATTTTTCTATAACATAACGCAATATTTTTACGTAGCTAAAGAAAACGTGAAATACCGCAAACATTTTGAAGTAGCGCTGTATAAATTTCACGCTGTGCTTGATAAAACCAGTTATACAAACTTCGTCATTTCGGAAATTGAGGTTATTTATCATTTGTGATAAAAGAGGTGGCAAGTCAATTAATTTTAATCAATTTTCTTTAAGGGGCCCATACACCTTAAACCCCTTATGATCTTCGAATATGCAACTGTTGCAAGAATTGGGATATTTTATTTATTTTAAAAGCAATTACTTCCAACCTTTTACAGCTGACTACGTGATATAGCTGCTTTTGAAACTAGTAACCATAAAGTTTGTGTTGCCACAAATATTTTTGTAAATTAATCTCCTTTGTGACAACATATTTCGCCATGTTTCCACCTTGCGCGCATGATATTTTAAAAATGGCTAATAGTACATCCTTGAAATTGGATGGAATTCTTTATATGGGCACTATTTTCTAACTGAACCAAAAATCTGATGAATATTTTAATATTGAAAAAATTTATGGACGAAAACATTACAGATTTTGTTTAACAAAATACATTTTATAAACTCAACTCATAATAAAATAAAAATTTAACATAAAATTTTTAGAATTTTAGGTTCACAGTAGTTTCCAAATGTTATAAATGTTATATATTAAATATAGAATTAAATTATGCAACAGAATGTTTTAAACTGTGCGCGCAAGTTCGAAACATGACGAAAAATTTTGTCACAAAGCGGATTAAATTATTAAAATATTTTTGGCAACACAAACTTTCTGATGACTATTTCAGAAAGCGGCTATATTATGTAGTCAGCTGTAAAAAGTTGGAAGTAATTGCTTTTAAAATCAATAAGTTATCCCTATTCTTGCAACAGTCACATATTCGAAGAGCATAAGGGGTTTAAGGTGTATGAGTCCCCTTAAAACTTTTTAAGAACAATGCATCTATGTTTCGTTTTCCTGTTGTTTTTATGTCATGATTGGGTTGAAAGGTTGAAAATAGCTTTTAAATTTCATCCATAACTGTTTTCCCCAAAGTAATGTGTTACTAAAATTTGTATTTGACACGTGAAAATTCTGTTTCTTTTCCTTACTGTGGCATAAATTCAGCATGAGCAAACCATTTAGTTCATATTATGATATAATAAGAAAACAAACTAACATGACTGGTTAGATTGAAAAGTCGTTTGTAACCCGAAGACAAAAATTACAACGCATAGATCGACGCATCCGACGTCGTGCAGTAGCGGCTCCATAGCATGTATACAGCATTATTCGTGCATACTGAGCTCCAATATGCTTTGATACTGGTGTACTTAATCCATCTGAGATGACTAGTGGCAAAGTAAAATAAGTGAGGCTAGCCATCTATATCCCCCCTCGACAGTTAGAATTATTGAAAGTGAGTTCGGAGACTACTTGACAAATGGGTTGATCGTTTTGTCAATATTTTATCTGTAAATGTGGTTAGAGTCTTGATTGAGATGTCATTAGCACCAGCAGCTGATAACCTGTAGAATCTGTAGCAGGTACAACGGTACCACATAGATATACTGAAGAAATATTTTTTTCTATTGCACTGCTTCATGATTTCTGCCATACATTAGGCATTGTGTTTTTATAATAGGGTTCACACGCGTAATAAAAAATCAATTGTTCAGTCCCCAAGAATAACGAGAAAGTAATGTAATAGAAGTCGTCCGTAATATGTTAGCTAACTTGTTAGACCGAATGTTTCTTCCTTTGGTTTCTTTCCTTTAGATAAAAGACCCTTTTTAGGAGTTACAGCTCAAATTTTCGAAGCATCTGCTCTTTCCATGATTTTTGTATACAACGATCCACGATCGAAAATGCTTTTAATTGTTTAATAGATGCGATGGCGGAGATCTCTCAGAAGCAATACA